GGTGAGCCCTGGGGACCCGCGTCCTGGCCCGTCGCGGGGTGGCCGGGTAGCGCTGGCGCGGGAACTTACCCGAGGAAGAAGACACCAGGATCCTTCTCCCCAACACAAAGACACACACAGCGACATTGTGTGCGGCTGACGCTGACCGGGCAGCGGCAGGAGGAGAGAGGGTACAGACTTCTTAGAACAGCAGAAGCACTAGGACCTCCTTCCTCTCTTGCCTTTTGGGGCCTCGAAGCAGTAGCCCACCCCTCCCCTGGCTGGAGTTTATTCGGTGGGAAAGGGGGTGGCTGGAAGATAGGCTCAGCTTACACTCTTCAGCCCCTTCTCCACGTCCTTCCAACTCAGTCCAGACTCGGGACACACGCCCAGCCCACTCCAGACCTAGACTCACCCTAAGACCCAGTTATCCCAGATGTAACCAGGAAAGAAAGCAAGGCTTGTGGCTCTCCCTCAACTGGGGCTGATGAGGGGGTCATGAGGGGATCCGGGAAGGGAAGGGATAGAAACAGAGGTGCCCTCTGCCCTGTGCCTGGTTTTATTTGCCAAGCCGACAGGCACATAGCTTGGAGGAGAGAGGCCTGCAATCCCCAAATAGAAAGAACCTTTCCCAGAGCCTTCCTGGGGCAGATCTGCATCGGAAGGGGCACAGTTCAGAGGGGGTTCGGGAGGAGCCCACGGGGGTGTGCAGAGCTTCTGGGCGTGTTTTTCATAGATCTGTTATTTTAAAAAGCGAAGTCCATGTCCCTGTAGAAACCATCAGTGGCAGTAAATGTGGGGCTGCGGCTGTGAACCGCCATTAGGCGCGGACTCCATTTGTTCCCAAGCTGGCAGCGGACCCCCTCTGCCCCCGAACCCTCAACTGTTTTGCCCAGGTCGTTTACCCAGTTCGCCACACAACTAAGTCACCCCTGGGTCGCCTTTCCGCAGAAATGGCGTGCATGTATCTTTCATGAAATCCACATTTCTCCAGCTAGATCTGAAATTTGCTCCATTGTTCTCGCCTCTCTCCTTTGTTAATATTTAATTAACATATAGGCTCACAATGCGGCCGGCCAGGAGCCTCAGCCGGCTTTGTGCCGCGCCGGAGTTGCTGCTGAGCCAGGCCCCAGTGGCCCGCGGCAGCCGAACGTGGCTCGGTTGCTCGTCTGTCTGGATTTAGCAACAAAACAAAACAAAAACAAACAAAAAAACCCCCAGGAAGATAAGATTTATGTTTCTTGACGTTTGAGAAAGAAGCAACGTACAGTTTTCTTGCGGAGGTTTAGTCCTTTTACCGAGACTTCTTAAGTGCGTTTTTTTTTAATCAAGAAAGAAAAAGAATTAAAAATTCTGATTTTAGGGAGATTTTCTTTCCTTAAAGTGGTTCGTGTCTTTCTGTGGGCTGATTCTTGTGTGCAAACGCCCCAGGACCAGAGGGGTTTAGGGGATGGGGAGCGCGCTTCTCCGGGGAGGGAGCGAGTGGAGATGAAGAACCGGCTCCTGCCCCACGAGGCTGTGGTGGGGTCCGAGCCCGTGCGGGGCCGCCTGGGGCCTGTCGAGGCCTCCCAGAGCCTCCTTCCCGCTCCGCGCGTGCCCCGGGAGACGGGCCGCCACCCCGGGATCCGCAACCCCCGGATGAGAGCCGGCGCCC